AGACCAGAATGACCAACCACTCATTTACAGCTGTGCCAACTATGACTTTAGCATAAGTCCAGGACAAGCCTTTGAACTCTAGCCTCCTAGGACCATAGCGGGACACCTTAATAACTTTACCAGAAAGGTGCAGCTCCAACCCATGGCTGACCTCACAAAACTGGGCTCAACACTGAAAGTGCACATGTTCCCATAGCATTGCATCAAACACCTATCATAGCTGGCACCCTCTTGTCTGAGAGCTTATTACTACGCAGTCATATTTCAGAGAATTTAAGCATCACAAGATAATGATTAAGATTGTGCCTGAAGGAATCTGCTGGACAGAGGGTAGTGGGTAGGTAGGTCTGGAGACAGAATATATATCATGAATGCTAGATTCCCTGGAGCTGAAAAGTGAGATGAAGTTCTGCAATGAAAGTGACTCATCAGCTATTAGATCAAGCTAATTTTCAAGAAAATCACTCCTCCTGTAAGCAGAAGAGAACTTTGTCAGTTTCTCTTTAGTATATAGTGGAGAAAGGGGGGCTATCTGGAGACCCACAGTGAGATCTGGAGCTCAAACATCTCAGAACCAGAGCAGAACATGTTAAAAAAACTCATATTAGAAAAATCTGAAAAAAAAAATCTTATCAACCCAAAGAAAAATCCCATAGAACAGACTTTAATTTTGTTCTTGCATCTAAAAGAGTGGTTTAGAGACAACAAGGAAAAAATTAACATTGTGAGGAAAGTGCTATCTAATTAGCAAGCATTAAGGGAGGGTTATGAAAAAATAGTAAACCTTTTTTACTTCAACTTTCTAAAGCAGATCTCAATTTATGTTGAAAGAAGAGTAAATAAAGAGGGTGCGGAATGGGGAAGGGGGAAATCACTGCTTTTTTTCTGCTGAAAACATCAATAATTGCAGTAATAATGTGACTTTAAAACCATTTCAATAACATCATCAGATCACATTCAGCTATATGCTAGAACAATTTACAGATCATTTACAAATATTTCAATTGGATATACATATGCTTTTAAAATGGATTTTTTCCCTCATGACTAGCAGGTTTATACTAATTTTCTTTAAAACAAAAAGTACAAGAGTGCATAATTTTTGCAAGCACCATTTTGTATGAAAGAAGGTGCTGCTCATCCTGCAGATTTTGTCACATCTAATAATTCATGAGACATTTTGCAGTCAATCCACATAATTACAAATAGCTACTTTAAAGGAAAACAAGCTCTGACATACCTTGCCAAAAACTCTAGAAAAAAATCTGCAATTCAAAAAGTGCATTATTTCAGGGGTGCCTTGTGATAAATCCTATCAACTCAAGCCTGCTGCTTCAGCCACACAGTCCCATAAATTTGTAAGAAGTGTCAACCTCCTATTTGCTACCATTTCACATTGCAGAGCTCTCTTCCCATATTCTGTATTGCACCCAGAACCCCAGAAGTCTCACTCCATAAAACTACACTGTCTTCAAGAATTTTTTAGTGTTGCCACCACCAAATAAACATGTAAGTGGAAGAACAGGCCGGGAGACATTTCCTGCCTAAAATAGTACACAGACTCCAATAAAAAAACTCAGGGGAAAAGGAGCAGGGATAAGGAGGGGGAAGGAAGCTGCTTATACAACTACACAAGACTGACAGTTATGCCATGGAAACCAATTAAAAATCAATACAATGTAGCTACTGAGCTGAAAGCTAACACTCAACTCAAAGTAAAGGTTTCAACATTAAGATTATTGACTGGAAATACCTTTGGTGAAACATAACTGAATTGCAAATGCTATACTGGTCTTATTTCTGAAACAAAACTTAATGAAAGGGAAATGAGAAAGCCCAGCAATTTCTTACATGAGCTTTGAAAGATGTCTGTCCGCCCCTCCTATACCCAACCAAAGCAAACAAACAAACAAACAAACAAACAAACAAAAACTATAATAAAGGCATGAGGTCAACTAAAAAAATGTAATACCTTTGTAGAAAAAAAATTGCTAATTGTTATAGTATAATTCAAATTATAAAATTGGAATTTTATCCTCCAGCAATAAAAATCCTTTTCTGAATAGCAATCTGCAACTTATCTTTCTATATCTATATTGCAGTACCCACACACGTATGTTGTATATATTTGCACCAAAATTTTGATGCACCGAGCAACAGCTGCTGTTCTTCATCTCTTGTTCTCTAATAACCAGTGTTGTCAATAAAATTTGGCTTCTACAAGCTGAAGACATTATCATTACTCAAAATGATCTGGAAGCAATACTAAAGTCATGACAAAGTAAATTGTGTTTCATCGGGATTTTTTTTTCTTCCTCTGGCTGTGAGAACACACAGATCAATACTCCTCAGCATGAGAATTCTGCAGTGAAATTTTCATTTGTTACAAACAGCAACAAAAAGGCCCTAAGCGTGCCCTGTCACTTCCAGTTTAGGAGGAAATGCACTAATAAACTCTTACCCCTGGGTCATCTTTGACAATGGGCAATACTATGCCAACTCTTATTAAAGGCAATTCATATCAGTGGCCCAAAAATTTCCTTTAAAATTACCATCTTTTGTATCCGTGTAGCTGGATGTCAGCTTTAAAGTGCCACTGAGATATAGGACCTGCCATTATGGTTAATTTTCAGTACAGTTTTAACACCAGGGTAGCTAATCCCCAAGGGTATATTTTTGGCTAACAAGATTTATTTAGTGGTTATCCAGACAAACAAGAAAATATATTACTGTATATTGCTTTTCAATATAACAGCAAACCTATACACTTCTTTAGTCTGTTGATAAACAGACCAAAGCATAGGCAGAAAAATTGTTATAACAATTAAAACATACAACTGAAAACAAGAGTAGCTAAAATTATTTTAAGGCCAAAAAGGGCAATAACTCATTTAAATAATAATAATAATAATAATAATAATAATAATAATAATAATAATAATAATAAAGTAATAAAATCTACAAAGTGACACTGCATGTGTGTTAATTGGAATGATGTGTATCAAGTTATGATTAAGTCATAAAGATGAGTTTCTCTATCAGTGATACAAAATTTTCAATCTGTCAGCATTTTTCATTGGAAAAACTAGAGCAGTTCCTAGTTCCAGACTTCAATATTTTTTACTTAATTTTTTCCAAAATGTTTCTTCAGCTATTTCATATTAAGCTATTTCATACAGTTTTCTTGTACTTGGCGGGAAAGGGAGGGTCTAGAAACAATTTGCACAATCATCAGTCTTTTCACAGCAAAATATAATCTGAATTTCTTAATTGTTAGTCAAATCAGAACTTAATACATTTGCAACACAAAAACTAAAAAAACCCAACAAGATATATAGCAGAATCACTAGAGGAAATAAGAGGTTCTAGCTAATGTATGCAACAGCAGGTAATATTAAATATTACCTGCTGTTGCATACATTAGCTAGAACCTCTTATTTCCTCTAGTGATTCTGCTATATATCTTGTTTTCTCTAAGTACAGGCAGTCACAAAGCCCGAGGTTGAATCAATTCAATCTTTGCAGGTTAGTCTAAACTGTGTAGATTCAACCAATAAGCAAGTGAACAGATATTCACCTTTGAATCTGGAAATGCAGCCACATGCCTGCAGAGGCCCAGGCCAGAAGCCAGAGGACACTAGAGCATGTCTCCGTAGTCAGCTGAAGCAGACAGCTTGGGCCACGGCCAGCCCACCCACCATATGAGGGGAGGTTTGTGGGGGAGGTGCAAAGCATCCTGGGATGCTAGGGGACTGAGTTAACCTGAATCTGGAGGGGATCTGGAACAGAAGTTCAATAAACCTATTTAACCTAAACCAGTTATGTCTGATACTACCTCCCATCCAGGTTTATCTTAAGTTGGTTTCAGCCATTTTGAAAGATGTTTATGTGCACTGAACTTCTGTCATGTTACAGATTTCAATTAGTTTCCAATCACTTATATCAGTTTGTGTGTAATTTCTGTCCCTAGCCTAGATATTCAGGCCACATTCTGATGTTTCCTGTCACATTTCACTTAAAGGACCTTATAAGCACCTGATAACTATTGTACCTACTAGTATACAAGTAGGTAGTTTAACAGGTGACTAGCATTAATCAAAGAGCATTCCAGGTCACACAGAAAATAAACTGCAGAATAAACTCAACAGACATTATTATTTTAGGCCTCTGCTCTCACAACCAGACGAGGTGCATCCCTTCATTTAATACCCTGAGCTATACACCTGAAAACTACAAGAAGGCCAACAAGCATAAAGTCTATCTCAAGATAAAAGACAGAATCAGTCACTACAATCTGGCATCATTTCAGCTAAACCAGGATGTTTTACTTCCTTGCTTTCTGTATACCAGTTCTCTCACCAGCCCACTCATAACTACAAACATAAACCATGTTTTTATTTAAATTCATCTAACATATCTGAGGAATGCAAGCAAACTTGCAAGCAAGCAAGCTTCTCCATTATGTACAAATATGCCAAGAGCAAAATTACCATGACATTCCTAGTCCTTGGTCAGGTGAAGGTATAAGGAATTTTTTAGATCTTGAGTCTCCCAGGTAAAAGTGCAATTAATTCTAGAATACCACTAGGCTGCCTAAGAAAACAGCTTTTAGAAGCAAAAATTAACCAGTTGCATTGAGTAAAAAGGCACTTCTGTATCTGTAAAAACATTTAGTAAATCTTAATCAGTATTTTCCTTAAGTGCAATTATTACTATTTGTAGGATGGCAGAACAGTGCATGGCATACTACATGCACTGTAAGACTAGGGCTTTTCATAGAGCTCGGTTCTAAGGAAAGCATTTGTTAGATTCCAAGCTGTTGAAACTTTACAGCAACTCTTTTTAATTTTATTTTATGAGGATTTTAGTACTTTTATAGTGCAATGTTTTTATAATGATTTGAGATCAAGGCTTCTGTAAGCTAAGCAAATGGTGCAAGCAGAATGCATTAATGTTAGGAGCATTTGATTTAATAAAAATTAAAGCAGTTGTGACATTACCTCGAACAATAAGTTGAGCAAAATTGGATACTCCAGAGCCTCTCTCTGACTGAGTTACACAGCGGTATAAATCCTGATCAGTTTTCGTCACTTCTTGCAACTTAAATGTAGCAGCAAATCTTCTGTGATTGATATTTTTAGTCTGGGCAACAGGGATATCTTCTCCATTTCTCCTCTGTAAAAAAGAGAAACCAATGCACAAGTATCTTACTAGGACATATTTCCTCTTGACAAGACAGAAAATAATTGTGCATTTTAAAAAACCCACACACATTTTCTCCAATCTGGGTTTCCGTGGTAGAAAGGCAGAGCAAACAGTTCACCTATTTGAACTGAACAGCATTTTACTCTGGAGACAGGTTTGGTATAAATAGTATTACCAGAGCCCTTCATCTGCTCAAAAGCACTAAGCCCATCTAGCATATCTTAATAGCAGGAATTATTCACAGGACAGAATAGTATTCAAGGGAGAAACACTACACAACACTATCTGTATCACAGGCTAAATGCTCTAGAATAAAAACTAATTTACCATTGGAAGAGGAAAGGAGGCATTGTAAAAATATTTAAAAAATGGGATTTTAAAAAGTTTACTAGTTTTAAATTTTTTTTGAAAGATATCAAAATTTCAACATATTTTTGAGAAAATTTAAGCAGCTCTAACTGATAGGAAAGCCAACAAATGATCTTCCCCTTGTCACAAAAGCATAAAAACTCAAAAACTGTGGAAAATTTTGACTAGCTTGAGCACCAGCAGCATCATTACCACGCCAGCAGCTGTAACTTCCCTGTAACTTCATTGCCCACTCCTTCCTAACCCTCTCCTTAGGTGGAAATGTGCAACCTCCATGACATTTTTAGTCCTAACTACCCCAAGAAATGAGTTGCGATCAAATGTTCTGTATACAACATAAAGCAATACTGCTAGGCTACTGAGGCAGGAGTTGAAATGTAAACTAAAGAAAGTTGGTGACAAGAAAAAAATACAAGGAAAGGAGATGACTCAAGGCTGCACAGATATGTTTACTGGGCTTCTGGTATGTACAAGAACATTTGATGTTATTTCCATCATTTATGATCAGAATGCAGAAGTATGAAGATCTAGCATCTCCTAATGAAAAAGTATGGCTGTAAAATAATCAGTTTGTGCCAGTGTCAGAGCATGTTAAAATGAACATTTTAACAACAGTGAATATGCATCTTAGTATTCTTACAGTTTCAATATTACAGCAGTGAAAAAGCACCATTCCCACACCCATTACAACTTCTGTGAAAGTTACCACTTATATGCTCCTGACAGATTTCAGCTTCCTTCAAACCAAGAAAATGGTATGAAGACCATTCCATCATCTTTATCAACAGCAGCTTTATTGGACTGACTCATTTATTTCATGATAAAAGTTTATATAGTGTAGACCAATTTAATTTCCTTTTTTTGCTGTTATGCCAGAGATGGCACTGTGTCAACTGTTGAATCTCAAACACTATCCCCATAGGCATAGCTTAGACAAAGAGAAAACTGGAAAATATACTTGAATGCAAACAGAAAAAAAATATACCTCCAACAAAAATATACCTTCCCCCTCTGGGGGAACGTTTGTTCACCACAGCGCCCCAAGGGATGATGAGGTTGAATGGTCACAAACTACTACAAGACCGTTTCAGGCTGGACATAAGGAAGAATTTCTTTACTGTCCGAGCCCCCAAGGTCTGGAACAGCCTGCCACCGGAGGTGGGTCAAGCGCCTTCATTGAACACCTTCAAGATGAAACTGGATGCTTATCTTGCTGGGATCCTATGACCCCAGCTGACTTCCTGCCCTTTGGGCAGGGGGCTGGACTCGATGATCTTCCGAGGTCCCTTCCAGCCCTAATGTCTATGAAATCTATGAAAAGAGACAGACACTGGTCTGAAATACTACAAAATGGACTCAAATAGCTTTGCCCCCTTTAAAACCACCACCCCTTCTCTAAATCAATGACCTGGAAGATAGGATGGAGTACACCCTCAGCAAGTCTGAAGTTGACGCCAAGCTAGGGAGAGTAGTAGATACACTGGAGGCTAGGGCTAGGTTTGAGAGAGACCTCAACGAATTGGAGGACTGGACCAAAAGAAATCTCATGAGGTTTAATAAGGACAAGTGCACAAAATCCTGCATTTAAAACAGAATAATCCCGTGCATCAGTACATGCTAGGGACTGACTGGCTAAGCAGCAGCTCTGCAGAAAAGGACCTGCGGGTTATAGTGGACAATAAGCTGAATATGAACCAGTGTGCCCTTGTTGCCAGAAAGACTGCATTAGTAGGAGTGTTGCCAGCAGATTGAGGGAAGTGATTCTCTCCCTCTATTTGTCACTGGTGAGGTCACATCTGGAGTACTGCGTCCAGTTTTGGGACCCCTGCTACAGACAGCATGTGGACAAATTGGAGACAGTCCAGGGGAGGACAACAAAAATGGTTAGGGGTCTGGGGCACATGACTTCTGAGGAAGGCTGGGGGAACTGGAATTATTTGGTCTGGAGAAGAGAAAATTGAGAGGTAATTTAAAAGAAGCCTTCAACTACCTGAAAGGTAGTTCTCAGTGCTGGGAGATGACAGGAGCAATGGTCTTAAGTTGTAACACAGAGAAAACCATAGATTTCCTGTTTTTATCAAAGAACACACACATTTTCCCTTTTAGCAGAGAAACTTGCGGATTTCCCACTTTGCAAAGAGCTCTGCAGGCGGACAGAGTTCCAGCGTGCAAGAGCTGATTGCAGAAAGGGTGGGAAACCCTGCCTGGAGGGAGAAGGAGGGAAGGGTGGGGTCTGAGGCTCACACTCATCCACTTTGGATCAGACTTGGATCAGGCTCACTTTCCTTCCAGAAGCCTGTGAGAAGTGGAGCACTGGCAGGGCTGAGGGGGAAGCTGGCTAGGGGAAACTGCTTTGAGGGGTGCAGCCCCACGCCGCTGCACTTACTGCAGCCCTGTCTGCTAGCTGCTGTTTCTGGCCACTGTGCTTCTCTCCCCCAGGGCCTCTTCAACCCTGCAGGTATGATCCAGTGCAGCAGGCAGTAATGGAGTTATGTGGGGATCTCCTCACCATTACTATTCCCCCTCCACTGCCCTGGTGATGCGCCTCCAGTGCCTGCCATGGCTTTGAGGGGTGCAGCCCTGCACACAAGTGGTGTGCCACCAGGGCAGCAGGGGGGAGTAGCAGCAAGGGATCCCTGCGCGACTCCATTGCTGCCTGCCATGCCGGGTCGCACCCACTGAGCTGGAAAGGCCCCGGGGGAAACAAGTGGGGCAGCAGGGAACAGGGGTGAACAGCTTCTCTGCGTGGCTCCGCTGCTCCCTTCCACCCTGCTTCTCTCCCCTGAAGCCTCCCCACCCTCACAGGCATGACCCAGTGTGGCAGGCAGCAGAGGAGCTGATGCTCACCTTGCGCTGCCCTGGCGACACACCACCAGCAACTGCCGCTGCTTTGAGGGGCACAGCTCAATGCCACTTCCCTCGCTGCAGCCCTGCTGCAGCACAGGGTGAACAGCAGTGAGACCGCTCTGAAGCTCCTCTGTCCCCAGCCGTGCTGGGTCATGAGGGAGGGAGGCATGGAACACTGACCAGCAGCTTCTGTGTGGCTCCTGCACATGGGGCTGAGCCCCTCAAAGCAGAAGCAGGTGGAGGAGGTGCATTGCCAGGGCAGTGGGGTGGGGGGAGAATAGTGGCAAGGAGATCCCCACGCAGCTCCTCTGCTCCCTGCCATACCAAGTCATGACTGCAGGGCTGCAGAGTCCCTGGGGGAGCAAAGCAGGGCAGGAGCCTCAGCCCGCAGCCTGCACCTAGGCCCTGGTATAGATCTGGGGGATGGGAGTTCCCCCTGTCCCCCAGGAGTGTGCATAGTGGTGGGGAGCTGCCCTGCCCAATCTCACAGCAGGGGGTGAGTGGGGGGCAGGGGGCTGCGGACCCAGGTCCATAGCCCTGGGAGCTAGAGACCTCCTCTGGCAGGGCTGTAGGAGCAGGGGCTATGGGCAGGGCACCACCTTGGCAGGGGGGAACGGACGGACTGGGGGAGCCCTTTATTTTTTATCATTGATTTTGGTTTTTTTTAGCAGAGAATTTGAGTTTTTATCAGGGAAAAACAGGATCCCTGCTCATGAGGAAGCCAGTACAGCAGGCTACCCAGAGAGCTTGTGAAACTAAAATAAATAAATTGCATTGCAGTTTCTTTCCATTTCTTTTGGCCAATAGTCAGCAATCTTTTTGTGGTGATGAACTGGAATAATCCAGCTTTGGTCCAAGGTGAGCCAGCATTAAGCACTCAAATGCTGCTGCTGGCACCACCATTTCTCTCTTCCACCCAGATATGTCATAAGTAAAGTGCCCCACCACTCAGTGGCACCACAGGGAAAGCCTCCCCCCCACCACACCAAATGCTATGGAAGCCCTCACCTGGTGGAATTCTGCTAAAGTTTCCCAGGTCTAAGGGCCAAATCCATTGGCTATGCACATCAGATCTAAGCTGTACCAAACTCTGGTCTAAGCTATTTACAAATTCTGTTCTGATCATAATCCCAGCAAAATAAGGCAGGTGAAGGGAAAATGACGTTTTTTATTTCCAAAGATGCACAAAACTGTTAAAACAGCCTAGAGATAATTAATATGGACTATGCCGACTAAAAGACAAACTGTTAAATATGGTGTTACAGTAGACTGTATCATAACTCAGCTAATTGGCAAGTTTATTCCTGTAAAGTGTTAGATATCAGTAGAAAGCAAAAAATAAATAAATAAATAAAAAGGGGATTTAAAGTTTGCTGTTAGAGTGCTTTTAAAACTGGTTCTAAAGCTTTCCATGAATTTTCCTCTTTTGTTTAGCAGTGGCATTTTACAACATTTATTAATCTCCTGGAGCATAAAGAACAAAAAAAATGTTTATTTAAAAAACTATATCAAAGCATCATTTTTTTCATCATTGAAGAGGTAAAATTTCCTTAAGGTATGTCCTTCATTTTGGCCCAAATGTCTTGAAGTCCAAGGCTCCAAACTCTCAAAATGCTCTTTGACAATATAGCCTACAAAGTAAAATAATTTACTCTGCAAATGTTATGGCTCACTGGCTTAAGCTTGTCTGCATGCTTAATGCTCGAAAAACAAAATTAACTGTCCTCCTAATTTTAAATTGAATAATGCAGCAC